TTGAATTAGTTTAATGAAGATTCAGTTCATGGATGAAAGACAACAGATTCATTTCAAGTCTTATTTAAACTCCTAATCGAGCTGATGTAGATGGAATTGTAATTATTGTTCCTATAATCAAATCATAATTTACAAAGCTTAGCTCCTCGCTTGAGGCTTACAAGTCGATAAGATGTTTTATTTCTTAACTTCACTTTTCCATTACTCGCCATCAGAATGTCGCCATCTCTCTCAACTTAATCGTAACTTTGATTAATATTGCTCAATTATATTATATCCTTTTGGTTAAAGATTAGGTCACGCCACTGCTGGCAGCTTAGACTAGTTATAATAAATATAGCTTAAGTTTTGGCTTTTTAATATGAAACGCGACTTTATTTTAATTAAAGCCACAATAAGATTACATCTCGCTTGCGACAATAGCTTTAATAGCAGATGAATGCCCTTTTAGGCTCTTCCGAGCTGTGCCATAGAAATGCCTGCTTATAAATGACAACGGCACCGGGGCTCGGGATAAATCTTGTAAGAAATATACTTGTATAACCTTAGGAATGTAAAATACTTAATATAGCAGCACATGACGAAAGAGAAATGCGGGTAGGTTTTTCAGTTTTTCAGATAAGGTGCTAGCATAGGCGGTCGTTGTTACTGCCTAATGTATCTGATCACCAAGCTAAGTCCTTCTGCAAGAAGCAGTAACGATTAATAATAAAATAGAAGAAGTGATTAAAATAAATGGCCTTATAAAATATTTATTTTTGTAAGGCGACAATGTGATATTTTTGGCGTATTTAGTTGCTAGAACTCTCTCTACTTAAGCCAATGAACTTGCTCGGAAATTAATGAGGTCGGGTCAGCAAGGAGGGCAAACAATCAGCACTGTCCTTTTTCATTTTTGTTATGCTTCGCCACATGTCTTTGACCTCTTCAGTGAAACTGCTCGCACACACAACACACAAATACAGACAAGCACACCTCCAACACACTCATTCAGAAATAATTATGCGTAACCCTAAAAACCAAGCTAACGACTGAGGCGACTGACGAGCCGGGTCCCATTAATTATATGCAAACAAGGCGCAACAGTACAGTCGACGCCGCGACTATTTAACTAATTTCTGGGTGGGCGCGAGAAATAAAGAGCCGGCAGAGTTGGGTGAATAGAGCGGGGCCAATGAGAATTAATGGCAGTGGCAACAGCGTGAGCATAAAGCGCCACAGTGCTTAGTTATGCGTTAAGTCTGCGCGAAACCGTCTAAGAAGTGGCAAGTGTGGAACGGGGTTCATCGAGCTAGCTCGCACAAATGAAAGCGCAACAAGAAGTCATAAAACCAACCAAACAGTAACAACAACAATGCCAATACACATACACACACAATCAAAGAAGAAAAATTGAGTTGAGGTCAAAACAACAACAGATGCCGCTGCAGATGAACTCTTGAACTTGCACGCGCAGCTTCGACGACATGGCGACATGGCAACGTCCCAAAGTTCAATGTACAATTGTGCATATGTTTGTGTGTGTGACTATATGTGTACTTTTATCTCGAGGCTGACAAACAAAGAAAAACAACTTGACGAAAGCTGCTTAGCTGCCATTTTATGGGCTTCGAAGGACTCTGTCTGAGTCGAGCCCTGCCATCTCGACACCACACACCACCTTAGAAAAGAGTCAATTCAGACTAGCATCCACCCACCCCCACCCTATTTAGGCCGAAGTGTCCGACGGCTTGGCCACCAGTGCGCATTAAATATTTAAATGCATTAAAATTACGTATACGCAGTGAGCGACAGTGCGAAAATTATATGTGTAGGCCTTATGTAACGAAAGCTGACGTTGGAACCGCTTTGAATTATTTAAAATACGTGCATTCATATTTTATTAAGTCCTCCACAAAAAAAAAATAGAAAAAAAAAGAAACAGAAACATAAAAAAATAAAGTGTGGCCACAATTACGCAGCGAAGTGAAACAATGGGCACAATTTTAATAGCAAGACTATGGAGTTGGTAAAATAGGCATAAAAAACAAATGCGTTTCATTTCCCTTGCCTTTCTTTTCTGCTCTTACCGGCTTCTGCCGGAAAACGACAGCTCATTATAAAATTTAAAGCGCGCGTCGAAGCGAGTAGCCAGAAAGACAACAATAATCTTTTGATGTTAAAGATGATATCTCGCTTTCGGTTGAACGACAACGTCAACAAGAACAACGCATCCCATACTCGTACAAGTATTTATGTAGTTATTGATTTTCTTAAACGCTGACTGGCGCTGACTGACAGTTTTGACTGATTCCTGTCGCATTTGCAAGAAAACAGTTGAAGAGAAGAACATCAAGTCACGTGTGCCGTCCCTTTTTATATTACAGCTACATATACGATATATTGAACCAAATGTAATGAAACATTATATTATGGCGAGGCATTATAACACATTACGTACTATTTATAAATACAAGCATATGAACCAATAATATGCAATCTGCCATGCCTCCTCCTATGCTTAAATTAAATTTAAAAACAAACCCAAAAATCTGAAGTACAATGCAAACAACAATAGATACTATGTATTAGCCTATATAACAGACAATTTAAGTATTTCTTATTTTTCTCTAGCCAGTCGCTGTTAGCTAACAGTACCCGCAGCCAGCTTGTTTTTAGCCGCTCTTTTAAACTGTTAATACTACTGGTGTTGCCCTCAACCACCACTGTGCGGCCATTTCATGCCGCGTCAATTCTGCAGCCACTCCAACTGTAATTTTTGACCAGTTTGGCTTATTTCATTGTTTTATATTCTGTTTTGTTTGGCCTTTGCTGGCATTCTAAGCGTGGCCAAAGCCGCAGCGTCGTATGTTCAGTTCCCTGCTCAACAGCGTGACATTTGTCGCTTGCTGTGCGGCGGATAAAGTGAAGCTTCGACAAAAGCCCAAAAAATAGTTCAGTAATGATGGTAAAATTAAATAAAAATTGTTTTTATACCCTGTACCCAAAGGGTAAAAGGGTATATTAGTTTTGTGCGAATGTACATGTACACAGAAGGAGGCGTGGCAGACCCCACAAAGTATATATATTCTTGATCAGCATGACAAGACGAGTCGATATAGCCATGTCCGTCTGTCTGTCTGTCTGTCTGTCTGTCTGTATGAACGCAAGGATCTCAGAAAGTATAAGAGCTAGAATAACCAAACTTGGTATACAGATTCTCCTGAGCCCGAGAAAGGACGAGTTTGTTCATTTTTTCTGATTCACCCCCTGACTCCCCCCCATTCACGAACTAAAATTTTGTAGTCACATTAAGTTAGTGACCATATGTGTAACCATATATATGTATACGTATACCAAGTTTCATTATGATATGCTGATCAGAAAGAAAGTTATAGTCATATAACCAGGCCCAATGCACACATACATACATATGTACAAGTACACAAAAAGGCATAGACATGATTCTGATATAAATGTAAATGTATGTATGCATGTATGGAATATTTCATATTTAATTTAGTTAATTAATTAAATGAATTAAATTAATTAATTAATTTAATTTCTTTTTTTTGTGGGGTGGTACAGGGTATTTAAGAGTTGAGCCTGCTCGACTTCAGCATTCCTTTCTTGTTAGTCCATGGGTACTTCCTTTAGTCTCCACATAGTTCAGCACATTATATCTGGAAGAAGAACAAAAAAAAAACCAAGGGTTTGACACTTAGGAGATGCAGATCGCCCCCTCCTCTAATGAATATAATATTTAATATTCCACATATATAGTATACTATATTTTCGATGTGAAATGTAAGCCGCGATAGTTTTAAAAACAACTTTACAGATTCGTTGAGCGGAGAATGGACAAGTATGAAATCCGTGTGCGTCGCAAAACAGATGCTTAGGTTGTTTTAAAAAAGCTCTACTATTTCATATATGTTATATGCATATGTATATAGCTCTAGTGAAGGGTTTACAGATTATTCCTTTACTTTATTATAAACTGCGCTAACATATAATTATTTTTAGCTTCCACTGTATTTGATTACCTGAATGTCACGGTCTAGGCTTTAAAACGCTTTTGTTAATTTAATTACAAGCTTTATGAAGGGTTAACCAAACTATAACGTCACGAATATTGCGTCGTTATTTCGCAGCCAATGATTTCTATGGATCGCTACCATTTTAGGTCCAATTTCGGTGAATAAATTAGACTAGCTTCAAAAATGTTTATGGTACCATAATGAACATGTGGTCGTAGTGTGATTTTCTACTGAGTAACGTTGTAAAGTTGTCTGTTTTTTTGAGACAGAAATACTTTTTGAGAGCTGATAAATGTTTTTAAAGCAAAAAAAAAAAAAAGTAGAATATCTGGGGATCATTTTCTTTCTTTCCTTAAAAAATTCCCTTTTGAAGTCCCCTAGGTCTATTGCTTTCTCAGAATTATTATTTGTTGACTTTTTACTGAATATTTATAACAAATCTTAATTTACTTGCAGTTATACCGCGATTTTAAGTTAAAACACTTAAGTTAAAACACTTTACCATTTTTTTGAATCTGTTTTATACTTGTATATTCATCTCAATATCGTTAATATTCTTCACTGTAACCACTTTAGCTTTTGATGTGACTTTGTTTTATAAAATTGTTGACCTTTCTGTACTCTATTGGCCACATAATGTGCTCTCCGCTCAAGAGGGCAGCAAAGCTATTGAACTTTAATTCGTTTAACATGGGCAGAAGCTGCTATAGCTGTAAGCGATTACAACTTTAGTCAGTCGTCCGCCCAACATGGGCCAGCAAATCTAGCTCGGTCTTGGCCATATCTAATGTTCGAGCCATTAATCGTTCAAGCAGATACGTCGCCGCAGCGTCGCCGTTGTCGTCTGGATGAGATGACTCTATGAAAAGCCCACAAATCAACAGTCAATCAACGCAAGCCTAACATAGCTCTGCTCTCAGCGTGAGCTTTGTTCTCTCTAGCGCTGTTATTTACATGCCGGCTGTAACAATTGTGTGTATCTGTATCCGATTGTTGCGGACAGAGCTTGCCAGCCGCTAACAGAATGCAGCTGAGTTCAGTCTGTCTTTGGTGCTCACCGGCTGCGCGTGGTAAATAAGCTAAAGGTTGTACTATCCACAGCATTGCAAAGCTTCTGCTATAAACAAACACTCCACTCAACGTCGGCGTCGCTGTTGTCGTCATCGTCACTTGCCATCGGTATCGCTATCGTGCTTGTTGTTGTTCCTCTTCAAATCTGTTTGTGAGAACGAGTACGGGTGTGCGTGTCCGTGTGGGTTTATTTGTGTGTGCGCACTTTATTTGCTGCTCCAGCTCCACTGTGTGTCCTCATTGTGCTCTCGTGCAAATGAAAATTTCATTGAGCAGAAAGTCACAGCAAAGAAGTGGGAAATACTAACAAAAAATAATAAAAACAAAAATCAAGAAAAACTTCACCGAAATACAGTAAAATAATTAAAAATCGTTTCAAGTGAAATTAGAAGCTGAAGAGAAGAAAATATTAAAACACAAACACAACGCATCAATTAAATTTCTGTGGTCCAAGCAGCAGCAGCAAAAACAGCAGCAGCTCAGCCAAAAAGTAAATTATTTAATTTAGAAAAATTGTTTTTGTTTTGAATTAGTTATAGACGAGCAAATTATGTTTTTATTTAAATTTGCCAACAATAATATATTTATATTTATTTATATATATAATATATAATATATTTATACATATAAATATATATATATATTTTTTTTTTATATGGCAGCAATTTTCTGAAATTTATTTTATCACATAATATGTACATACAAAGTACATGTTTGTTGTAGACACTATTTTATACAAACAGCAATATAATCATTATTACTGGTAACTATTTTTGAAAATTAATTTATGTTTAAAGAAATCAATATATTTATTACTTATGAATTTTCTAGCAAATCAACTTTAGTATATATTTACAACATTATGTTAACTATTTATATGGCCTGTCTGTCTGTCGGCACTTTCTTGGTCATTAGAACCGGAACAAAAATGTTGCGTTCGTGTTTTCTAGCATGCCGCATACAATTTTTGAGCCAGTCAGTCGAGTCAGCCGGCCAGTAGTCCGCCAACTGTCCATCTGTACAGCTGTACACCTGTCCAGCTGTCCATCTGTCCCGTCCCCAACCAGTAACTGCCAGCCAGCATCGGGCAAAGCGTCAGACATTGCGGCACACAAATTGCCAAGCCGTAACACTAGCTGCGTGTCGAGCTGTGGAATTTTATCTACAACTTCATATACGAAACTTATATTTCTTCTTCTTTTAGTATTATTATTATTGTTGTTGTACTATTGGTAGGGAGGGTTGCCTCTCGACGGTCTCCGCACGCAGCCAAACGTAACGAAACGCAACTGCACTTCACGCTCAGCTCAAGCCCGAGTAAGTGGCTCGACGAGCAGTTCGATAGGCAGTTAGCTTGCTTGAATTAGCATACTCTTAGATGATGATTCAAAGACAGCTGGCCCTCAAATGGAATAGAAAATTCATAGGGGGTATACACAGTAGCTTCTCTTAATAACTTAAAACAAAAGTTTATTTTGATTTTTACCACAAATGTAGGCGTCCCTATAAAAATGGTTGTATTTCTGCTTAACACGATAGACGATTTTTCGTCTGAAGTTACTATCTCTGGTATTTTTTGTGATTGAGAAAGTACCTCAGCTAGCGAAGTTTCTACAAAAATTGTACACGCGTGTGTTTCCGCTAAAGATGGCTAATGTAGACCGCCCGTATTTGTAGACATACGCGTGTAAAGTGGTTATCTGAAATCAAACTAATGTTCAGAATTGTATACTATTTGAATGCGGACTAACAAAAATACAACTGCATTGACAAATACTATATACTTGTATAGAACGAACAAACGGCCTCTAGGCTATACTGCAACAACTGGACTTTTCTGTATATTGGTCCCAGCTCCAGTCGATTTTCTAGTACTCATAACTCAAAGTTGAATTCAATTTCAGATAGCTGTTTCTAATTTTATTTTAAATCAACCCAATACAGAATACTTACTGGTGTCCATATATAAAATAAATAAATTCTTATTGAAAAGCAAATAACGAATTTTTATTGAGGCAAATAATATGTACATATTTGAAAATTTATTCATATATTTGCTTACTAATTTTCTTTTTAATAGACCTTTTAAATATAATTTTTATATTTCACATTTGAAAACGTGAATTTTAAATTTGTCTTCAAACATGTTTTTCCAGTCAACTACTTCGTAATTTAATTTAAAAGACCTCACTGAAGTGCATAAAATTGTTTGAGCAAGAAATGGCTTTTAGCAAAGTTTTGCGGGCTATTTTACATTTTAAAAATCAATTACAACTTCTACCCTCTAGTTAAAGCTAATTATATGCAAAACTTTCTTCCAAGAAATTGTTGCTTAATTAAAAAGTTAGCACATACACTCATAATACAATTTGTAGCTGCACGTTGGCGTTACTGTTGTTGCTGCTGTCGCATCTCTAAGATGCATTTGTGCGCTAGGCACGTTTTGACATTGATAGCAACTAAGACGGCACTTCATTCAACATACTAGACTGCATGCATCATCAACAACATAAAACAAAAAGAACAACAGCAATTTAATTTAATTGACTTTTTATCAATCAAAAGCTGACGCAGGATATAAGCTATGACAGACTCACTTTTTTTACAATAGATACTACACATATACATATCTGCTAAGTTTGTCATGCATTGCTTTCCTTCTTCTTTTTTGTCTCTGTGTGCTGATTTTTAAGTATGTCTGTTGCGTTTTTTTTTTTTTCAAATAAGTTTTTTCGTCTGCCACTGCGTTTTGCAACCTCATTTGTTGTCATAACATTGACGGCTGTTGCACGACGTCGTCAGCGTTGTTAGCATCGTTGCTTTTATGCTCTGGCTGTGTCTAATCGCTGCACTGCAATAAAACGAGTAACAGATTCAACATTGACTCTCGAGGTGCGGCTGGCAGCACATTAAGAGCCACTGTAATAATTCCACAAAGCACACACGATGCACTTCTTTATTCCCACTAGTTCTGTGAACTAGTCCAGCTCCTATTAAATGACTTTAATTTCCAAATAACACCGTTCAGTGCACCACCCACTGAGCAATAGCTGAGTCGCAACGATCCAAGCATCCAATTGTAGAACAATCTACATTCTCTTGCACCATAACTTCGCTGAGTTATTTGTTATGTTATGTGAGAGTTTTTATGATTAATTGGCGCCTAACACGGAGCCCGAAACCACGGTTATCTATTTCAGTATATAACAAATGTTCTCTGGTTATTCGAATTATAGACATTTTGTAGGTCTCTGCTTCTGAAAAAAACATGATACAAAAATATAAAACAATACACAATATAGCCCAATACAAGCAGGTCTTGAGAGAGTGGGAAAAGTAAAGATATTAAGTGAACAAATATGAATATACAAAATAAGCAGCTTGAGGGAAATTTTTTTTGGAATCTCAGAAACTAAATACAAGTACATAAGGGAAAGATATTCGATTACTAATATATAACACAACAAATTGTTGATATTCTAAAGTAATTGAAAGCAATATGTTTGTTGCCAACATTTCTAATACTACATATTATCCTTGTAACAAACAAATTTTACATGCATGACTTTTGAACCATACCACCTATCAAAAAACTATCAATTAGAAGAAAAGGGGAAATTGAATAAGATGTATTTACAGTTTATTTCATGTTTGAAGATTTGCCAATATTTGAAGTCAACTCGTACAAGTATGTTCAATAACCATTATGTATATATTTCATAAATAGAACAAGTAAAAAAGCTAAAGTCGGGTGTCCCGACTTTGAAATACTCTGTACATATGTTTACAATAATTAAAGAAAATAAAAAAAATTAAGAAAATTAAAAAAAAAATTTTGATCGATTTTACCTCTCTTGGTATTCGAACTCACGTAAATGGTGTATAATTGCACATTTACATAGCAATTGCGTCTGTGTGAGTGTATGTATGCCTATGCGCATCTATTCGTGTCTGTGTAAACATGTTAGCAGTCATCCAGGGCAGCGGTTGGGCAGCGTTTCAGCAGCGCTGCAGCAGCAAATATATTTATGGCTATAACTTCTTGTTAAATCGGTCTATCATAGTGGCATAGGTGAACATAATAACCAACTGGGGGTATTTCCAAAATTTTAGTTCGAAATTCTAAGAATTACGGGAGTTACGATTTGCATGGGAGAGGGGGGATGGAGGGAAATTCCAAAATACACATTTTCTGCGTATTCACATAAGACATCTTGGACTAATATTTGGTGTTCCTAGATCTTATAGTCTCCGAGATATAGGCGATTATATGAATGGAAAATCGGGAAAATCCCCATAGTGAGGAAGTGGGGGAAAAATCAAAAAAATAAAAGACTCGTATAGTGTACACACATAAGGCATCTTTGTGCAAAATTTGGTGTCTCTATCTCTTATAGTCTCTGAGATCCAGGTGTTCATACGGACGGACAGACAGACAGACAGGGCTAGATCGACTCGCCTTGTCATGCTGATCAAGAACATATATACTTTGTGGGGCCTGTCACGCCTGCGTCTGCCGGTTACATTTTCAGCTCCCGCAAACCTAATATACTTCTCTACATTTCATGTACAGAGTAAAAATTTCTCACATATAGGTGGAACTACAGGGTGCCCTGCGATTCTCTTATGGTTGCTGTTCTAGTATACATATTAATCGATAGTAAGATGTGACTTGTTGTAATAATGTACTTGATCTATTTGTTGATTTGTACGTGTTAATGTTGTTCGGCGGCCGCTTAGGTTGAAAGCATAATGTATGTTTTGTTGATATGTCTAATGGCAATAATACTCAGCGCCTTGCGGCATACACGTAACGCAAATACTAGGCTTGAGAAACGCAAACTTAAGCGCCAAATGCGTCTTTGTGGCCACATTAATGATGAATGTTGGCTTAACTACAAGCCAACTGATGCGGAACAAAGCTCAACAGATTCGGCAGGCTGTTGTTGCTGTTGTTGTTTTCTTAGGGTTATTAAACCTCAAAGCAGAACTATTGTTTAGCATTTAAGACATTCTACAAACATTAAAAATCGATTGAAAGCTAGAAAGATGCGGGCATCCTTAGTCTTCAACAGCTCGGATTTTTAGATTAACCTAAGCATTGTGCCATAAACAAAGCTAATAACAACAACAATAACGACAAGCAACTGTGAAGGTCATTGCAATGGCGCGAGAACAAAGCAGCAGCCGTTAGAGAAGAAAATGATGATGATGACATGGCAGGGATCTGAACTTGAACTTAAATTATGGCACATTGTGTTTGAGCTTTAAATAGCAACAAATTCAATTAAATTACACAAGTTTCTCAGCACATTTGGCAGCCATCAAAAATGTGTAAACAAAATTAAACCAAATCAAGGGAAACCAAACAAGTAGAGAAGCTAAAGTCGAGTATCCCGTCTTTGAAATACTGTGTACATATGTGTAGAATAATTATGCGTGTATGTGTGTGTCTGTGTGTGTCTGTGTATGTCTCGTGTGCCTGAGCAA